CCCCCCGAGGGCAGCGGACCCGGCGGCGGCGCCGAGGGGCGGCGAGGAGCGGGGACCGGGTGGGAGCACCGGGTGCCACTGACACTCGGGCTGGTCGCTCGGTTCGGGGCTCCGAGGCTGAGCTCTGACCCTGCAGGGCACTCACCCGTGTGGGACGAGGGAAGGGGCAGCCGGTGGGGGACCCTCCTCGCTTTGGGGAGAACGGTGGGATACTTCACCTTTGGCTGAGCCCCCAGTGATCTCCCTCTCTCCTATCAGGGCAGCAGTGGGCAGCGTATGTGACACTTCGGTGAGCGGATGAGCCAGAGGAGACAGTCTTGAGAAGAACAAGGGTCTCACTTTTTTCCTCCACTTCCAAGTCATTCTCATCACCAGTGAGCCTGGCCACCCTCTCCTGCAGCCATGGAGAACTCCTCCCTCCCTGAAACCAATTCCTCATGTGCAGACTGCACTGGGAGAGAGCATGGGGGCCTGAATGTGTCCACTCCCCCACTGAGTCCCAGGTTCTATGTCACGGTGCCAGTCATCTATTCAGTCATCTGTGCTGTGGGGCTGACAGGCAACACTGCTGTCATCTATGTAATCCTCAAAGCACCGAAGATGAAAACAGTAACCAACATCTTCATCCTCAACCTGGCCATTGCTGATGAGCTCTTTACCCTGGTGCTACCCATCAACATTGCTGACTACCTGCTCCTGCAGTGGCCCTTTGGAGAGTTCATGTGCAAGCTCATCATCTCCATAGACCAGTACAACACTTTCTCCAGCATCTACTTCCTCACTGTCATGAGCATTGACCGTTACCTTGTTGTGGTGGCCACCACCAAGTCCAGGAAGATGTCCTACCGCACCCATCGAGCAGCCAAGATTGTGAGCCTCTGCGTCTGGTCCTTCGTCACGATCATCATCCTGCCCTTCACTGTCTTTGCAAAGATACACACGGAGCAGGGCCGCTCCCAATGTGTCTTCGTGTTCCCTCATCCTGAGAGTGTGTGGTGGAGAGGTAGTCGGATTTACACGCTTATTTTAGGTTTTGTCATCCCAGTGTCCACCATCTGCACCCTCTACACCACCATGCTGTGCAAACTGAGACACATGCAGCTCCATTGCAATGCAAAAGCCCTGGACAAAGCCAAAAAAAAGGTGACACTGATGGTGGTTGTCATCCTGTCTGTGTGTCTGTTGTGCTGGACACCCTATCACCTTAGCACAGTGGTGGCCCTCATCACAGACATCCCACAAACTCCACTTGTCATTGGGATTTCCTACTTCATCACTACCCTAAGTTATGCCAACAGCTGCTTCAACCCTTTCCTGTATGCCTTTCTGGATGACAGTTTCCGGAAGAGCTTTCGCAAACTGATAGATCGCAGAACCACCTCATAAAGCCAATCCCCTGTCCCTTCTTGTGTCCCTCTCACAGTCACCTGCTCTTCCTGGGTGACTCCAGCCCAGAGAGTGCTTTCTCTCCAGCCTCCTTGTGACAGTCCACAGAGCTTCAGGTTGTCTTACTACCCAAGACATGAACTGGGGACAGGTGGATCATTCTCAACTGTCCTGCACTCATTTCCTTAGCACCGCTTTCCTTGCCCTGGTTTTTTTCTTTTCTTTCCTTTTTTTGATCTTAAAAAATCCTTCTTTCTAACATTCTTTCTGTCCTAGATTTGTAGCACTCAGAGCTGCAGCAGGTCCCTTTTCCCTTTCTAAATATATCGCTTTGTGAACTCACTCCATATAACTGCCTCTGTTACTGGTGAGTTGTAAACCCCAATAAATGTGTGTTACTGAGTGTTTTGTTTGATGATTCCTCAGCCTCTTTCTTATCCTGCTTACCTAAAGTCTTACAAACCTAACAATATTGGAAAAGGCACAGCTCCAAAGGATAAGGAATAAACCAAGGTATTGAATTTATTTCATTTTACATGAGACTAAGATAATGTAATCAAAATCAGTGATAACAGGCAAGCGAGTCTTCAGTCTGACCTTAAGGAAGAAAGAGCAAGCCCTTACTAGTGAATAAAATAAACAGGTGTAGGTTTTGAGCCACTTGCTGTGGAAATAGCTTAACAGTGTACTTGGTAGTTGTAGTTTGTAAAATTTGCAGCATTTGTATCAGAAGTGGTAATTAATTTATTATTTGTCATGTGCATACAGATAGTTATTTTTTTGTCCTAGAAAGCAGAATCAGACGATATTTTCAGAACCAGGTAACTCTTAAGGGTTTAAAAAGAACTTTCTGAAACATGGGGAATATTCTGACTTCTTCCTTTACAAACCATAAATAACACATGCAGTGGTTAGGTTACTTTTACATTATTTCTCACACACTTGTATTCGGATTTTTGTGAGATTTATTAGTATTTCTTTTAAGGAGGAGAAGTGAAATAAAACATAAAAAAAATTCTAAAGTACCCAAAAGATTAGGTTAACTTTATCTGGAGGAGGAGGGAGAGGGTGAATGAAAGTTTCACTAGAATTCATATGTCCAAACACTGCATGAGGAGTTTTTTCCTCCCCTCTCCTCTTTTAGCCCTCTAAGGGAGACTAAAAACTGTGGAAGACTTGGAAAATATTTGCAGTCATTTAATATTTCTCATCTTAGTGGTCTTCCCCCCTCTTCTCTGCAGCAGATGCTAAATCAGTGCAACACAGTTTTGTTAGATACTTTCCCATCCACTGAAGACAGAGAGATAGTGAAATGTGGCTAAGGAATTGCATTCCTCCTTACACAGGAGGGGATGATGGGCTTCAGGGGGTGCATAAGGATTTATGTGGCACATGTTCAGGTTTGCAGGTGCCTCCTGAGAGCCCTTGCACCAGGCCCTTCCCCACTGCTGCAGTCTAAAGTTCTGCCATAAGCATGTGGAAAATTTATTTTGCTAAACCCTTCTGAAGAAACTTCAAATAAAAATTTTACTTGCAGATTTTAGCAATTATGCAAGCCCAGGTACATTATAATATCATATATATAACTGGTTTGATGATTAAATAATTTCTTTTTATAAGACATTAATATTCTCTGAGACAGTCACTGCTAAATTCAACACTCAATCTAGCTGTTAAGGAAATGAAAGGATTCCTTTGGCAGACAACAGTGTCTACTTCTGCTTCATTGTTGGGTGTATGATTGACTTTCATCAGACACAGAAGCTCTCCTTTGAAAGAGCAAGTCCAGAAGTTAAGTACCCATTTCCACACCACATAAAAAAACATGATTCAGTGTCCCACACTTGAACTTTCTGCCTGAAACAAAAGTAATTAACTTCTCCCACCAGCTGCCTGCTGATCAGTTACCTGCTGCGGAGAAAGATTTTACTCTATATGGGATGGGTAGCAAAGTCTCTCTTTTAGGCTGCTGGTACATGCACCACCTCTCTTGTATTCCTAAGCCATCATGTTCACAATGATGTTGCTTCTGTAAAGACTGCATACAGTTTAAAAAGTAAACAATATTATTCTCACAAAAGACATTTTCAGGGTCATTGTGCCCTCATTGGTTGTGATCCTTCCCCAAAGACTGAAGAATATCAGTGAAATACAATTCCCTGTCAAACAGTCACATTAGCAGCACAGATTTGAGCATTGCTTGTGGTAGTAACCACCTGAACATGTTGGCCATGCTGCTATGCAGACACATTTGTCTTATCACCTGTCAGGGCTTTCTTTCTACCCCAGAAATATTGACACTTAAGCAGCTTTGTCATCCTTTAGAAAAATCTAGCCTGTACATTAAATGCATCTCTGGGGTGCTGACTGATATTAACAGTAAGTTACAATAGTCTGATTTGAATTGCACTATTGTCTAGTTTTGAATACTAAAATTTTAAATGTTCCTGAACAATATAAACAAGTTCAAGTTTTTAAAACATTCAAACAAATAACTTTCTAACCTAGATCAGTGGAGAGAAAGTTCTTTAACATCTTACTATTTCTCAGGAAATAAAAAAGCATTTTAAGGTGTGCCTTTCCTCACACTCAGTATCTCATCCCATTGTCTTCCCCATCCTCAGTTCCTGTTGTCCATGGAGGAAAATGTGAGAAGTATTATCCATTAACAAGTTTCACTTCAAAGTACCTTGGGCTGCTTGTCTTTTCTTTTTGTCAGAAACATAAAAATGTGAACAAAATATCACCTGTGGTAAACACAATCCTTCCCTAAATTCCTTCTCATTCTGAAGCCACATTGTACATGTTCTTCATAGTAGGATGAGCATCAGAGAAGAATTCAGTGTTTCTCAACATGTCTAAAATTTTCTCAGAGTTGTTAGTCACAGTTTAGGCTGAAACTTGAGCAAAAGCCCAACTCTGATGTGGATGCTCAACTCAATCCATGAATTGGGCAGGACTCCCCTTGCAGTATTATGATGAGTGTTGTCTGTGACGTGTCTGGGAGGTGGGACTAGAGCCTGTCCCACCCTAGGCATTGCAGACTGGTGTACACTTGGAGGAGTTAGTTGAGCCTGAAGAGCCTGGAGCGTGTACTGAATGGTAAGATCCCCTCTCATTTTGCAGAGCTTCAGCATTAAAACAGGAAAAACATAGTTCTTCTTCCATCATATGCCCTTTTTGTTTAGGAAACAGAACATACTGGGGGAGTCT